CCCTAGGCCCCATGCTCTCTCATGTTCACTGTTCCTCAGACCTTCAGTTTACTTTTTCTTCTTCCAGGATATATATTATTTTCTTCAAGCCTTTGTTCTGTTCATAAAGGACGTTTTCCAGATACCCTTTGCCTGGCCTCTGAGTCAGTTCTTAACTGGGGTTGCTAAGGTTCCTTTTGAACTGTCACCTGGATTTGAATTCCTGACCATTATGGAATCACCCTTGGGGTTGTTCCTCTGGCTACCGCCCTTCCTGCTGGCAGTCTGAGGTCACACCTATTCCTTTGGCAGCCTCCTCACGCTGTTGACTCAGATTATGGTCAGCCAGCCCAGTCATTTACCAAACCACACTCCTCCATTATATATTGTCCTTCCAGCCACTGTGTTTCTCTTGCTACTTCTAATTGGTGTTTGCACTCAAAGCAGCTTGCTTGAGGGTTTGCTTTTGGCTGTCTGTGTATGTCCCCCATAAGAAAATAACAAGGGCTTTATAATAGCTATTGACCTTCACAATCCTTTCCTCCTTCTGCTCTTTGGATCTGTTCTAGAACAGATAAGAATGCTATGGATTAATCTGCCTTATTGGTATTCTGAATATTTGCCCTATTGCTAAGTGGGAAACTGTAACATTTTCATAAAACACCACAAAAAGGTATGTGCATACAAATGAACATAGGATTCTCCTCAGTAGGATTTTTGACTGACAATCTAGGGGTGAATTCTAAACTAAAAATAATCACAAAGTTCAAATGTCTCTTATTTTCTGCTTTCTTTAACTCCATGATAGTCCCTTAAACAAAATCATAACCCATTATGAATCAATAAATAAACCATTGTTGTCACTTAATTTGATGTGTTTGTTGGAGGAAATTGCAACCCCTCTTTCCGTCTTCACAAAGCTTGTTTCAGGTTCACAAATTTGTAGGCCTCTGTTACTTTGCTAGCTGACTTTTTCCTGGGCAAGAAATGGGAAACACAGTTTGCATTCTTCTCTGAAACTGTATTACAAATGCAAATGACAGGACTTCTTAGTCCTAGAATCCACGTGGATGTCACAGAAGATTGATAATCTTGGATAGTTTGGAAGTGTGATTTAAGTGCCATCTGTGGTCACTTACTTAGCAGATTGGTTAGATGACAAATCTGCCAAATGAGCAGTGTGTGTTCCTAGAAAAGAGAGGAAGTAAAATCAAAGACATTTTATTATGAAGGGCTTTTTTTTTTAACCACCTCGAAAAATACACGCAGCAAAACTCCCATTCCATAGTATCTATGTATATTGATCAATCATATTAGTTACATTCATCACATCATGTCAGCGTTCTTACTATTTCTGTTCTAGTTAATCTCCCTGCTCCCTTTTCATCTATGTTTTAAAATAGCTGTTGAGTAATATAGTATTCAAGGGTGACAGTCTTTTACTCTTTGGGCTACACTGTTACTTAGTTTAAAGGTAACTGCAGGGTATAGTTTCATTTCAAGGTTTGAAGAGGAACTCAAGGAGGACCAGAATCAATAGGTCCAGGAAATCTGGATTCCTTTGGAATATAAATCTCCACACGTGTCTCCCTTTTTATCAGGACTCCTCTCTCATGCTCCTGAGCAGCACCATCTGGGTCTTCTGGTCCCATAGTAGAGGAGAGAGTGGGTCATACAGACAGTACTGTTGGCTTGTTCCTTCTCTGACTCTTAGGTTTCCTTCTTTCTCTTTTGCTCCAGATGAGCTTTGAAGACACCACTCACCACTCACCATAGCATCAATTCTGAGAACTATATTATGCCAATTGACTATATTGTCCCACGAGATCACAACCTTAAGCTCTAAAACCTACAGAACTAATCCTACCATGGAAGACATTTGAATATTCTTTATTTTGAAACTTGAAGTTTATATTTTTAAAATTCAAATTAGTTTAGCTTACAGAATAAAAGTTAGAGGTTAATTTTTCTCTTTGCTTAATTTTTCTTTAACATTTTAATTACTTGACTCTGTTTCAGAAGACAACTGGAAAAGCAGCATCCCTTGTCATAGACTATGGTAGCTATAAAAAGGAGTCCATGATGATGAGGATGTTGTAGAGAGTTCTTCTGGGCACCACTAACTCCCCCCTACTCACACCACCACCACCTAGAGGTTAGAGTCTGAAAGTGGGTCAGCTTCCTGCCGCCCTCCAAGCACAGACCTGCTACCACCATGTCCTTCAGTCTCTGCTTACATCCTCAGCCCAGGAGCTTCGAAAATGCCCTTTCTGCAGGTTGTTTTTAGGAGTTTTCTGTGTATCTAAACCAAAAGTACAAACCCACTACCTTTGAGTCACTTCAACTTACAGCAACCCTATAGAAGAGTAGAATTGAGACCTATATGGTTAACCAAGACTGTAGAGCTTTACAGAATCAGACACCTTTACAGAATCAGACACCATGGAGTAGCTGGTAGGTTTGAACCTGTGACCTTTAGCTTAGCAGCCAAGCACTTTAACCAGTACATCACCAGGGCTCCTTTCTGTATATCCAGAGATGCTAAATTTTGTTCAGTGTCCTTGGGAAAATACTAGCATATGATGCGGGACAAATTTGGTGCTGGGTTTTATCATTTGTGTGCATTTTTCCCTATAATTTTCTAAAACACATAAGCTAAACTGTGATGGCTTTTAGTTGACATTATTTAGCAGCTTGTTCCTATTATTGGCAACTGTCAGCTCATTCTTGACTTACAGTGACCCTAAGCACAATGGGGTGAAGGGGTGTCCAGTCCTGCACCAGCCCCATGATCACTTGGGGATTGGACCTTTGTGCTCCTCAGGCTTTTCAGTGGCTGATTTTTGGAAGTAGATCACCAGACCATTCTTCCTAGTGTATCTTTGGCCAAAAGCTTTTCTGAAACCTGTTCACCATCATAGCAGTGTGCAAACCCCCACTGACAATTGGGTGGTGGCTCGGCATGAGACACACTGACCAGGAATAGAACCTCAGTCAACTTTCTAGGAAGCAAGAATTCCACCACTGACCCACCAAAGCCCTCATTTAACAACTAGAGTAAGATCATTTATTCAGTGCTGGGATTCAGAATATGGTAGCTTTGCCATTAACCCGACAAACCAAGTGATAGTACACTTGAAGGAGTTATGCACCTTGAGGTGGTCCAAACAGCTGTACCCACAGGACAACACTCCATTATGCCCGAAGAGATTAGGAGAATTCAAATCAGAACACAACTGAAGGCACAGGATCGGTTGATTTTCTTGATACATTCTGGGATTTCAATCTCTGAAGCCCCAGATTTACCCTGATTGTTTGTGTGACGCACATTTGTGATGTTTCTCTATACAGGTGCACCTGAGACTCTCAATAATAATTAGTCATCTTTCCTTACCAAAGTCAGTGATGTTAAAATTAACTCTGTATTCTTCTTTCTTTTCTTTCTTTCAGAACAAGCTTGCCCTCCCCTATGTTTTCCAGAAATGACTTCAGTATCTGGAGTATCCTCAGGAAATGTATTGGAATGGTAATTAATGATCAGCTTTGACATACAACTTTAAGGCAATGCATGTCTAAATGTATTGGAATGGTAATTAATGATCAGCTTTGGAATGCAACGTTAAGGCAATGCATGTCTAAGTGTACATCCTTTGGAAAAGGATCCTAATGTCTGCATAAAAGTCAGGCACAGTGTGTTTATGCCATTTAATATGTCTTTAATGTGACTGACTCTTCACTGTAAGAAAGGAGGAAAAGACTTTTTCAGTTATCAAACCACATTTGTATTTCCCCCCAGATATGAAGGGCTTCCAAAAATTCATGGAAAATGGAATTAAAAGATGTAGATTTTTCCATGAACATTTTAAAGCCCCCTCATCTGCTAGAAAGGAGCTCTGGTAGCATAGTGGTTATGAATCGAGCTGCGAACCGCAAGGTCAGCTGTTCGAAACTACCAGCTGTTCCTCAGGAGAAAGATGAGGCTTTCTGCTCCCGTAAAGATTTACAGCCTCGGAAACCCTGTACAGGGTCTCTGTGGGTCGGAACCGACTCCACGGCACATAACAACAACAACAACATCTACTAGAAATTATCTCAAAAGGAAAATTAACTCCCCCCAGTGTAGCATGTAATTTCACTTTAAGAGTTGGTGCACAGACCAAGATTCTGTCCTTTGAATTTGTGAGTGTGGTATATTAAATATTTGGACTATGTCTCTGCATGCTGCATGGTTATCTGTATAGGTGGGTATGATTGATTATCATGTAAATCCTTGAATTCCCTTTAGAATTGAGTGAAGTTTCTTACTTCTTCCTACATATAATAAGCAAGAGTAATGAAAATTTAAAAACACAAGGCCTCTTAAACTAATAAAGATATTACCTTTTGTCATTTTGCAACTCCTTGTGCACCTGACCATGGTTTCGGAACTTCCCCGGCCTGGAAGCATAATCAGCCTTTAAACATTTTCATTCCTTGCTTGAAACCTTTTCAACTAATGATTTATCCACTTGGGCATTTTCCAAGGTCCTGGTTCTCTAGGTGGGGCTTTGTAATCTGAGACTTACTAAATATATTTCCAGGGAGCTCATCCCAGAAGCATTCATTTTGATCAGATGTTTTCTGAATCCTGTGTAAGCCAGCAGAGATTTGCAGTCAGTTCTGTAGGTAGGATCAGCATTGGACTTGGAACCACAGGTCAGCAGGTCAAACCCACCAGCTGCTCCTCAGAAACCCTATACAGGGTCACTATGAGTCAGAAGCAACTTGATGGCAGTGGGCTTTAGTCTTATTTTAGTTATAGTAGGATTTATCATGATAACCAAATGTGTTTTTGTAATTTAAAGACAAAAGAAGTAATCTTTACTTATCTTCTACATCAGTGTTTTTCAAACTCTTAGTGAAGGTATATTGATTACTGTGCTCCAGTAGGCACATATGTATATGGTGGTGGTGGTTGTTTACACCGACTCATAGCGATCCTGTATAGGGTTTCCGAGGCTGTAAATCTTTACAGAAGCAGAAAGAAAGCCTCATCTTTCTCCTGTAGCATGTCTGGTAAATTGAAACTGCTGACCTTGAGGTTAGCTACCCAACATGTAATCTACTACACTACCAGGGCTTCTTAAATATGTGTACAAGGTGTATATAAAAATGAAAACCAACTTCACTCAAGAATCTTTGTGGTTACTACAAATTATACTTTTTATCTTTTAAAACAATAATGCTGACTCCAGCTTACCAAATGGATTTCACAACCTGCTAGTGAATTGAACCCACAGTTTGGAAAGCACTGTTGGAAATTACCACATCTGCCTAAAATGATTTGGTCAAGAGAGTTTGTGTACAGATCTGAGGCCTGGATTATGAGCCGTTTGTGCACTTCTCTTGCCTGAGTGCAGCTCCCCCCATCTCCTGTTTCACTGGGTGTTAGCTTTAGCAGTGGTGGCACGAATTCATTCAGGCTGGTGACCAGCAATCTGTCTCATTTGTGCCTAAAGCAGATATCCAGTCTAAATTAAGACGAAGCTTGCTTTTATAAAATGAGAAGTGATGTTATGTTGAATTGCACCTGCTAGCGTAGTGGTTACAAGTCGGTCTGCTAACCTCAAGGTCAGCAGTTCAAAACTACCATTTGTTCTGTGGGAGAAAAGAAACCCTATGCAGGGTTGCTGTGAGTAGCAACCGACTCTGTGGCACACCACCATACTTTGAAAGGGAGTCCTGATGTGGTGCTGTAGGATAAGCACTGGACCACAAGATCAGTTTGAACTGCAAGGTTGGTGGTTCAAACTCACCAGTCGCTCCTAGGAAACCCTATGCAGGGTTGCTAAGAGTTGGAATGGACTCTACAGCACTTAATAACAACAACAGTTTGAATGATACTTTGTTTTTCTAGAATAGTTGTCTTATTTTTTTTAGATGCTTAACTGTATGAGCAAATAAACACTTAATGAGTCATAAACAAAACAAAGCAAATAAAAGCAGAGCTGTTTAGGTTGATAGGACTCCGTGGACTGAGCTTTGAAACTTGCATCTATAGAACTTCCACAGGAGAGAGCACCACAGGGAAAGTAACAGGTTTGGAAACTCATCTCTGCTGTGGTTCTCTAATGAACAGGATTTAGTACAGCACTTTCTAATGTGGATCCAAGGAAATCATTGAACTTTGGGCACCATCCACTGTAGGAGGACTCAAAAAGTATAACAACAGAGACTCACCACAAGGTGCATCTCAGGGGAGAAAAGCATCTACGTGTCCCATGGGTCTCTAAAAGGTTAGACCACTCATTGCATTTTCACAATTCAACTCCATTTCTCACTAATAGTTCACTCCAGATCATCTTGGTCTGGGTAGATCTCAGTTACAAAAGCCACGTAGTAAACCGTCTTCAGCTGTCTCTACTCCAGATTCCTGGGTTTTTTATTTGGTAAGAATCAAGTCTCAGAAGCAGCAGAGGAAATGTGATTTGGAAGCATAGCTTTTCAAACCGTCCCTCAGACCATTGCTGTAAACTTGAGGAGCATGTCAGGTTAGAGGGAAAGGTGTGAGCCTCCTGCAGGTGCCAAGTTCATAGTGCTATACTGAACAGAGGTCCAGTCCCAAGTCTGAGATAATTTATGCCCCTGATTAATGTTGTGATGATGCAGGTTCATGCTGTCATGTTGTCATTCAAAATATATTGTTGTCGAGTTGGTTCCGACTCATAACAACCCTGTACAGGGTTTCCGAGGAATGGCTGGTGGGTTTGAACTGCCAACTTTGTGGTCCATTGCTTAGCCTACAGAGCCACACCAGGACTCCATTCAAAATGTTGTTGTTGTTACATGCTGTTGAGTCAGTTCCTACTCATAGGAACCATGTATAGGGTTTCCAAGGAGTGACTGGTGGATTTGAACTGCCGACCTTGTGGTGCACAGTCCAGTAGTGATCCTACAGCGCACACCAGAAGTCTTATTCAAAATATATGGCCCTTTAAAACTCCTGATAGATGCTTGTCCACCTGAGATGGCCGAGGAATGCTTTTGTGTTAATCAGGAAAGAAAGTCAGGGTGTCTTCCTGGGACACTCGCTGCCCATGAAACCACTGCCCCCTCTCCATCCAGACTCACCCTACCCCCACCTCCTCCACTTAGAATGCATGAAGATTTCACTTTGCTTTTTTCTGAAAATAATCTAGAGACTTCGATCTCAAAACCTAAGACATCCTTGTCTTCATCAAATCTATTTTGGACCAGATTGCATTACCAAAATTTTGGGTTATGCTATATAAAATGAATACTTATTTACATAACTGGAATTCAATCTTAAATCTGTGATTGAAGCTTTTACCCAAACAACAAAAATCCCAGCCCCATAGACGTTAATACTGATGTTGGTTAATGAAAATCTTTGGTCCTTATGTTCTTTCTCCACATGTCCCTTTGTTGAAGAACTCTTTAGTTTCATAATCCCATTGTCCTGTTTCCCTGATTTCTTCCTCCTCTCCTCTCCCATCCCTTTGCTCTAATGCCTGTCTCCGCAGGACTCACGCAGAATTTAGGTCACAGATGTTCAGGCCAGGACTAGGGTGAGGCAGGCCAGGCCCCCAGGTGCAGAACTGGGGGCAGCATTTACACTCAGGGCCATGCAGCTGTTTGTTAAATATCTGGGAGTAGTAGACTGTAGTGTTCAGTTAGTGTTGTTAAATGTTGAGTCCATTGCAACTCATAGTGACCCTGTGGAGAGTTTCTGAGAAGCAGTTGATGGGTTTGAACTGCCAACCTTGCGTTTAGTAGTCCAATGCTCATCCTACAGAAACAAAAGTCTGGTATATTGTAAAAAATGGCTTTTCACAGTAAAAAGTGTTTATATCACTCTTTTAAAAAATATCTAGTGGAATCTAAATACTATAGAGATTTTATTGCCACTTTCAGTAACAATTTTATCCTTATTTTTTTATTAGTTGTTAAGGACTAAAAGCTCTTGCTGTTATTAACAGATAGAATTTAATTAATAGAGGAGTTTTATGGAGTTTTTTTTTTAAACTCTGGCTATGCTGTTCAGTTATTTGACTCCTTCCCAGATAATAACATTAAAAATATTCTATGATTTTATAAGTTCTTCAGTGTTATTGAAAGCGAAGATTTAGAAGTACCTAACTTTGTTGTAGGTGACCCCTCGTCTCAGAATATGGCAGAGGAACTCATCGAGTCACCATTCATAAACCTGTTTACTTTCTCTCAGGTGGACCTTGCAATACTGAAAATAGACTGGGAAAGTCGAAATATTTTTCAATGAAACTAGAATATTGCCAAAATATTTCTATCTCATTATGAGATAAAAACGTATTTTCTTCAGAACTTTGGATTTAGCTCATTCAGTTGATGTAAGATGTCTACCGTATAACTTCCAGGTCAGTGTTATGATGAGACTGGTCTCCAGGTCAGATTGACTGTCAGACACAGAAGCTTGATGTCATTTTTGAACTCAGACAAAGTGCCACTGTGACAGCCAGCCCATTTTTTTCATTAGAAATCTAAGATAAA